TCCTACCCCTTAGGCTTCGAAACATCACCGGCTCCAGCTCTGGGAAGGTCCCTACCTGGAAGGTCTCCAGGAGCTGCCTTTTGAGCCGTGTGTTAACTTGGATGCCTGGGAGTTGCTGCAATCGCTGAATTTTAGCTGCTGTTTTGGTTTTGTTATGTGGAAGCAGCACGGCGTGCTCTAAATCCCGGCAGTGGTTAGGCAGCAGATACCTTCAGGGCTTCTCTGCCAAGGCCCTCGCCTCCTGCTCCGGGTCCCTTGGGAGCCAGCGTGGTACCCGAGTGTCACCTGCGAGGGACTTCAGTTTGCCGCTGAGATACCAGGACATCTGCTTCAGTAGATACCTTTCACTGCGTTTTTTTTTGTATTAGTTTTCTTAGCGGACCTTTTCCCAGAAAACTTATGGTCTAAATACAGATCTATCTAAATGAATATTTGCTTAATTAGAATCACAGAATTATTTTAATTGTAAGGGACTTCCAGAGGTGATCTGGTTCAAACATCCCCCGAAGCAGGACCAACTTCAGGGTTAGATCAGGTTGTTCACTCAGGTATATACATATATAGAGATTATATATATAAAAATAAGTTTCATTATAGTATTGAGACATCTATTTCTTTTAAAAAAACAGAATGAAAAATAACTTAGGCTGAGAAGATGCAGCCTTGGAAGCTTCTGTGAAGGCAGTGTTTTATGTGTGCCCTTCACAGCTCTTCAGTGCAGAAGCCGTGGTTTTTTAAGAGAGGATTAATAATTTGGTGGAAGGATTATACAACTGAAAAGGAGAGCTGCTAAAGGGAGCCAGTTGTTTATGATCCGGATCTCTGGAACCTGTACATTGGTACATACCTGAAAACGGGTCTATGCAGGGGGTGAAGGACTCCTGGCTTGCTGCTCACGCTGTATTTGAGCTGTATGATCCTGTAATTTGTGGCTCTTGCAGTTTGCCTTGCACAGCCAGGAAGGGGTGTTTTTCAGTTTTGGTTTTTTTTTTCACCTTGACGCAGAGTTTGCTTTCTGCTGGGTTTTGGGGAGGGGGCTCTTTCTGCCTTCTGCTGAAGCGGTGGGGATGGACAGGGTGTTGTCCGAGCATGCTGGGGCTCTTCACAGAACCAAATTCCTGGAAGCGCTCTATGTGCTTTGCTTACAACCCGAGGGTTAAACCAGCTGCAGACTTTGGGCTGGGAGAGTTTTGAATCAGATTGGCAGGGGTTGTTTTTATTCCATCCCTTCCTGGCATTTTTATTGTAGGCTTTCCTTGCTGTCACCGGGACGCTGGCAATGCTTTGATCTCTCTTCATCTCTGCCTGTGGCTCCTTAGAGTTGGGGGGTTTGGTCTTTCGCTGTAGATTTGAAGACCGCCGCAGGAATCCGGAGAGGTTTGGGCGAGCCCAGGGGTGGTGGTACTGGCTGGAATGGCGTCTGTGGCCCCTTCTACCCTGAGCATCGGTTATATGGCTGCCAGTGATGGAAGGTGGATTACATTTAGGAATTTAGATTAGGAATTTAGGACTACTCTGGACCAGGAATTTTTGAAAGAGACTAGTGTTACTAATTCCTTCTAACCCCCTGCTCTTTCAAGATGTCAATCTTTGCACTTAAAAACAAGCAAGAAATTTTTGTATTGCGGTTGTTAGCTGGTCACGATTACTTTGCAAGGCTGCTATAAAGATAACCTCTGATAGCTGGGAGGTGCCTTTGTCCCATCCCAGCAATGACTGGTCACTGGTTTGCTCTCGTCTGTCACTGGGATTTACCTTCCCGTGGTTCCTGTAGGCGTTTGTAGGGTCCAGCAGTACACGTGCCGGCGGGGCAAAGCGTGGCAGAAGGTGTTGCTGGTGTGGTTCAACCTAGCTGCCTGGCTCCCAGGTTGACTGAAGTGAGATAGAGACTTTTGGTTTTTTTATGGTGAAAGCCAAATATTTGTTGTTTAAAAACTGTACGTTAATAAAACCACACAGGTACTTGGCAGCAATTTCAGGACCTACTCTTGTGTCTGGACTTTTTTGTGATTACTGAGGGACTTGCCCAATGGAAACAAGTTCCAGCCCGCGTTTTCTAGGTGAAGTCAAGTATTTTTAGTGTAGTTACCTTTTCTTTGGTCTGAACTCTCGTGTCTTGCAGTTTTGCGTGCTGTGCATCAAGAGACTGAATGGACGCCGGGGAAGTACTTGCGGGTCTGGGTGTGTTAAACCAGCAGTTTAACAGGATTCTCCAAGGGAAACGCAGGAATTGTTTCCTTTTGCGGGGCTCCTGCGTGAGGTCTGACTTCATGGTTTATCTGTATTTCTCCTGTTTGTGGGAGGCTGCCAAATGGCGTTTGGGGAGCAGGATTCTCGACCCACCCCCCTGCGACTTCGATAAAGTCCTTTAACTTCCAGGCACGTTTTCTTATCTGAAGAATGGGGGTGGTGATGGGTTAAGATTCTCAGCAAGCTTTGGAAACCCTCGTGTGGAAGGTACAACAGCATCTGTTCCATCATCGTTGCTGATACTTTTTAAGAGACGTATGAATAGGTTGGTAAGGAGGAGGAGATGGTTTGAGGAGAGATGCAGAAGGGTGAGGTAATTTTATTTACAAAAGAGATGGAGATGCTTCTACTTACCTCTTTGTGCAAGAACATTTTGTGAAGGGAAGAGTAATGGAGAAAGCAAATGTTTCTGTCTTTATTATAGTTAACCTCTGGGGCCTTGTTGTTGCTGACTAAGATTAAGAAAATCTTTTAGTAAAATGAGGAAAAATATAGATTTAAGTAAAAGTGCCTACATTTGTATCAATTGGAATAAAATTGGCAAATGTTGTTTAGCCTAGTGCTTCAGGCTGAATAGCACCCGCAGTTTGGGAGGACCCTTACGGCCCGCGCGGCGTGTGTTTGGCCTGATAGATGGCACAGGAGGACAGCAGGATTCTTCTTAAATGGGGAAACTGGATCCTGCTTTCTGCGGAAGGCGTGGGGAGACCTCGGGGGGCTGGGAGCCTCTCCCTGCTCAGCAGAGCCGAGCATCGCCCCTCCTCTCCTGCCGCTACCTTGCCAGCGCGGGCTTGACCTTGGGGCCGGTACTGGGGATTTTCGGTCCACTAAAACTTCTCTTTAGAATCATAGAATGATCATAGAATCATAGAATGTTTAGGGTTGGAAGGGACCACTAGTGGTCATCTAGTCCAACCCCCCCACAGGAGCAGGGACACTGCTAACTAGATCAGGTTGCTCAGAGCCCCATCCAACCTGGCCTTGAATGTTCCCAGGGATGGGGCCTCCACCCCCTCTCTGGGCAACCTGTTCCAGTGTTTTACCACCCTCATTGTAAAAAATTTCTTCCTTACCTCTAGCCTGAACCTACCCTGTTCTAGTCTACGGGTTGCGAGGGTTGAGGTAGCTGCGGGGGCCGCTCGGCGCATCCGCCG